TAGTTTGCATTGTAAGTAGTTTTGTCTGTAAGTGTGGAAGTAAACAAAATTTTTTAAACATTGAAGAGACACGTTCTAATGCCGTTTGACGCATTTTCGAACCCTTAAGAGTTACAATTTGATGTCATTTTTAGGTTACTGAATATGGCAAACCGGGGACACGTTTTATTTAGGTCTTTGGGTCCGAAATCTGAGGAACAAATTAAGACGGATTCAGCTCAAAGTTCGAGCAAAGAGTGCAAAAATTATTTACTAAAAATCTACTCATAGCGCGGTAACGTTTGGATTGAAAACAACTCACTTTAGTTCATTTCTATAAGTGACCCCGCGATGAAATTGTCCAGCATTCTCGAGAAAGTTAATGTCCGACCTCGTAAGAATCCTTAAAGCGTGTGTTATTGTGTTTTTAACTAACGCGAAACGTTTGTTTTAAGTGAAATATGGAGATTCAAGTTCAATTTTCTCTCATGGGGTCAGCTTGAGATAAGTTCTTCTTAAGTGTATTAAAAATATTAAATTAACTGCTCGAATATTCTACGTAAATCATCTTAAATAAGCAAAAAAAAAAAATTCGCTTTGACTTGTTTCTTTCAAAAGGTGATTCAGACGCATGCATTAACAGGTCGTAAAAACTTCTACAATCCTTTTAATTCAAACTTCTTGGTATGGTGTGATAGCCAGCTGAAGAAACTTTGATTTAAGACAGGGGTTTAGGTATCTGCAGTTAAAACCGGACGCGCTACATCGCTTGGACGCGAGACACCTCTACAGGTATACAGAAACCTTCACTCGTTTGCCTAAAATTTTACTACAATGTGACAGTAACCGTTTTCTTTTAATGTTCGGGAGGACAAGTTTTGTGAGGGGGCACAAAGACTAGAACAGCTGCCTGGTGTGTGAGAAATTTTGGAAAGATACGCCCCAAAGTCCTGTCCAAACGAGAAACGCTTGGCGACCAAACACGATCCAATATTGTTTCGTGACCAAACATGTTGCTGTTGTACTGAGTAGCATAACGATAACAAACATGTTTAATCACCGTCCAGATGTACAAAATGTTTCAGAATGTTTAGGGGGCAAATACATCCTGATTTGCCCCCCACCCTCCCCAGAGCATCTCATAATAGCTATTTAAAACAATAGAATGTAAATTAGGGCTGCTGTGTTTCCGAAAAGGTCCATCGTGAACTAAGCTGCTCCAATAACACTTTTTTTCAATTGACAGCTGTCATTTTCATGTTCAATAATTACAAAAGTTTAGCGGCTCTTAGAACACACAAGGTTTCAGATCAATTTTGGGTCTTTTAAACTTCTGCAAATAAAACATATTACATTCCTTGCTAGACGATTCGTTGTTATTCCTGATCAAGTTTTTTCAAGCAACTCATTGCCTTGGTGATTATCTTCGAAGATCGATTTCTTAACAGTTTACCGAGTGATATTTTTAAAGCATTATATTCTAATCACCCTGAAACGATGATAAGGTGTTTGTAACTAATCTTAATAAACACAAACACAGCATCAGGAGCGAGCATCTCGTTTATTGATGCAGGATACAGCGAGCCTCATCAGCATCATTAAGAAAATACATCAGTGAATAAACAGGAAAATTAAAAACCAAAGTTGAAAGAGTTGCCTTCTTGTGGCTCTTGCATAACTTACAAAATCTTAAACAGCATGCTAGTCCCCTAGGGATTTGTAGCTGCTAGCAAATCTAAAATACTTCTACAGTTAACACGAATCATACATTATGACCATACTTCAGTGTAATTAGCAAAACATTACAAAATGTATTTATTTCGACACGAAATTGTGTAAAGAAATTATCGTGTTTTCCTGAAATGGCACTGTAATTTGGCAACATCCTTGAACGTTTTATTTTTTGTCGTTTTTGAAAGTCACGTGTCGTCCTTTTGGGACTCGAATTTGATTTGGTGGTTATTTCCGAAGACCAATTTCTTGAAAGTTTCCAATTTATTTCATAAAAAAGCCGTTAAGTGGTTATTAAAGGTGACCAGTTGCGAGACCTTATTTGCTTCATATGAGTAAATGTGTAATCGCTTAAAACAATGAACGAGTGTGTCCAATTTTATTGAGAAATCAAGGCAGTAGGTAATACAGCTCAAATCACTGATTTCGCTCAAACTTAGGCCAAATGTTGCGTTCGGTGAGGGAGTGATTGTGGCAAAACAGTAGGTCAAAATATTTTATTCCCTTCGAGTTATGGGGACCCCTGCAAAAATGGCCATTAGCCTTTAATTGATGGCAAATATCTGCAACGGCCAACAGCAAATAGATATTCTACCAAGCCGAACCATTATTCTACCAAAGCCATAAAATGATTGGAGACTTCTAAATTTTTTTGTTCTGGCCATTTTTCGGTCTTAACCCAACTCTAAATCACCAAGAAATAACTACCTTAGCATTTTCTATCGATTACGAGTAAAAATTGCTTTCAAATCTTTTTGGAGTTATATTTTGTGGCACAGAATCGCGTCTAAGTGACATGTATGTAGTATTTATTTTTCCTTCCATTGAATTTTAAACCTGAAAGCGTAAGTTGAGGGAGCTTCTGAGTTGAATTTCCTGCTGCCCAATTTATATCTCGATATCGTGATAATGCCACAAAATATATAGCTCCGAAAATATTTGAAAGAAGTGCGTAAAGAGGTTCTTTTTACCGAATTTTTACTTTTAATCGATAGGAAAATTTTCAACTGGTTATTTCTTAGTGATTTAGAGTTGGGTGAAGACAGAAAAATGGCTTTGGCGTTTCAGTGGATGTTCATGAAATAGTGATAAATCGTAAAGTACTATGTAAACAGTACGCCAGCGCAGAACAAATATCGAAGTCCCCTAACATTTTATGACTTTTTTGAGAACTCTAGTGATTGCTCTCACTATCTATGCTAGAAGAATGTGTATTTGCAGTTACCTGTTAAACATATGCATAAATTAGTGTCAAATGACCATTTTTGCAGTGGGTCCTTATAACCTGAAGGGAGTAAGATATTTGACCTACTTTTTTGCCGTAATTACTCACTCGCCAAACCCAACATTTGTGTCAAATTTGATCAAAATTGGTGATTTGAGCTAAATTACCTATTGCCTGGTTCTACCTGGTTTGCTCATGGACTCACTCTTAAGCTCTTAGTTTCGATACCACCAATTTGTACCTATCCATTAACGTGTTTGCTTGAAATTCCCTATAACGTGACAAAAGCTGTTTTTGTTATTTGTTAAGTTGTATTTAATTGTCACATTTTGTTCTTTTGGAGCTCAGGTTTAATCAAGAACATTTCTGAACTGCAAAGGTAATTCCCCTAGTAGCAGATGACAAACTTGCCAGGTCAACCCGACTTCGTCTTTTGTTCGCAACTGTAATGTTTGAACGTAATTTTCGCGCACATTAGCCTGAAACATGGCATTTGGAATGCAAGAATGGTTGTTTTTCTTTACTCTCTTTCTGAATGGTCTTGCTTTTCTCAAGGTCTCTAAAACAAGGATAAATTCGCTGGACGAAAATTTTTCGTCAAGCAAATATTAGGAAGGCTACCCTAGACAAGTGTAGCTGGACATGCGCAGTTTTTTAGGTTCTTCAAGTGTCAGGAAGTCATGGCAGATGTAGCTGGAGCTTCAATAATGTGCCTTTTCTTCAAACTAACAGCTGTCAATATGGCATGCAATTGTTTTAGTGTTAGGTCTTCTTTAAAAAGAGACAAAGCAAAAGACAAAATTCAGTTTCCACCGGGAACGACCCTGTTGAGAAGGTTTTGGTCTACCTCAGAAGAGAATTTGACGAGAAGACATTCAGTTAGAAGACCCTAAACAGTAAGTTTTCTTGTCACCAGATTTTACGTTGTTAGCAGCTAGGAGCTATCATGATATCTTCTTTCAATTCAATTCACCAGCGGCTCTAGGCAAACGAACCAATTTATTTTCTTTCAGTAAACTCCCTCCTTTAACCTCCGCTGAATACAACAAGTTCGCATGAAGTATTTTAAACTGAGAGCCCGACCAGATTCAAATTGCTTACTGCTAGCGTCAATATCTAGAAGTAACTTAAAAAATGATAGTATTTTTATGTTCTAAAGATTCCTTTCTTACTCTTTGGTTTATCAAGGTGTTGTTTAATACTCCGGCAGTGTTTTTGTTTCTAAAATGGTTTCTAAGGTGGAACAACAATTTTTACAATTTATTTTTGTAAATTTAATTGAAACCTATACGAGGCCATTCTGTGTGAATAAAATTGAGAAATTCCTATTTTATATCGGAGAATGATCCAGCAAACCTTAGAGTGGTTGTGAGAAAGTATAGCACAAGTCTAGGATGCCATGCCACGTCATGGATATGCCATTTCACCTTCAGTTGGTTTGCTCTTCTTTTGGAATTTTGAGTTCGTTTCGTTGTCCGTGACGCATGTGGGATTGGATGGGACAAGGACTCCCACCAGAAAACTAGTTGTAGGAGTTGAAGAAAAAGAGGGAAGGATTTAAGAACCATGACACCATTAGTTTACCATCACAATTTTGAGAGTACCCACCAACCAATCCATCTGTAGTTTTTTCTGGCTTTTAACTTTACCATTTCTCTCCCGTTTTCTGACTCTAGCCTTCACCAGTCTTTAATAGAGTTATCTACATAATTTTTTTTTCGCTTCATTTTTGCAGCTTTTTTCAGTTAGGAGTGAGAGTTCAGCGTTTGATTTCGAGAATCCCCAATGCATATCTTAGGATAGAGACTTCTGTTCGCAGATAGGAGCTATGACAAAATTGGTATAAAAGTACAGTTCTTAGTCATTTTTGTCTCAAAAATAAGTGTGAAAAAAATATTCGACGCACTAGTAATTGCTCGCCCGACAGCAACAACTAGCTTTATTTGCATGACCATAAATACACAGAGTGTTGCAAATGCTTTTGTAAACTAAAACTAAAACAGTAATGATTATCGTGAAGATTAATAAGGTTATGATATAGCACTCAAGTTACATCGGTTTGATTTGAAAATAGGATATGGCGTAGATCAAAGGAAGATGAAATGATTTTGCTAATTGAATACTAATATAATGACGTGTATGAGTCGTAAGTTTGACGATGGCTTGTATTGAAGATAACTGTTTAAAAGTCTGAACGATATGCTCTATTTTTCTTTAAAATTCATCCCTTAGAATAGAGTATTTATTGCAGAATTCTCCCAAAACAATTCGGTTATTCGCTCGATTTCCATGAGGCGGTAGTTGAATCAGCCTTCGTCCTCATCAACTATCGCCTCATAGAAATCTCGAGGTCATAATCTAATTTTTAATTATCATGATTTGCTGAAATATTCTTGACGCTTCGGAGTGGAGGGGGGAATTTAATAAAGCCCCCGCTTTAAATAGGGTCACCTGATAAATTGTCAACATAAGTGGGGGCCATAAATTTCAATTCCTCAAACAAAGCAAGTGGTATTAATATAATTATTAGTAGTAACATAACCATTTTTTTCTTTTTTTTTTTTTACCTAGCATGTGAAGTAGCTTTGCCAAAGCGCTTCAGAGCGGCGCGGGAATTTAAATTAGCCTTGAAACGCATTCATATGACATTTTATTACTCATGATCAACTTAACGTAACGTAACTTCATATAACTTAGTCAGTTTTATATTCTTTTATCAAAGACAATGAGGCGTTTTGTTTTCTTCATGATAACTTGGGCGTTGGCGGCATCAGTCCCTCGTCACAATGAAGCTCAGGTAAGCATGTGACCTCCATTCCTCCGTACTTTGTTAGATTTTTAAGGACAAACTATTTTTTTTTTTTGAAATCGTTTTAAGTGTCCAGTGATGTTAAAATTTACTTCTTTCACAGGAAGGAAACCAAGAAAAAGACCCTGGTAAGTCAATTAATTAATCGTTGTTTCATTTTTTTTTTATTTTTAATCTTGTAAATTGCTACAATATTGTTGCCGAAATTTATAAGCGTAATAAATTTCAGACTCGGATAGGAAAAATCTTGATCAAATTATACGCCCTGAATTCATTCCCATCGATGTAAAGGTAAAGTTCAAAACTACTCTACCAAAAGAGATGAACTCTAACATGTCGTCAGTTCCCAAGACTAGACTTTGGAGAAACTGAGAACCGCAATTATATAAATTAAATGCAATTTTCAGACGGCATTACTGCATTGTATTGGCGGCTAGTTGGGAGAAAATATCATTATTCTTGTATTGGGTGGAGTCGCGTTGCGACGGAGCCCAGCACGAGAATATATTTTCTCTTAACACCGCCAATATAATGCAGTAATATAATGCTGTCGCAAAATCGCATTTCGTTTTGCATCGCGGTTTAAAAAAAAGCAACGATGAATTTAACAAATTTATCTTTATTTAGACTCATAAACATTTCAATGCTTATAATTTGGGCAAAAACACGGGTGGAGATTATGAAAAAATTGGTCGTCCCGAGTGGCCAGCATTTCAAACTAAACACACCCCGAATGCAAATTAATAAAAAGCCAAGCGCTTTGGCACGAAACTATAATCCTGCAAGAATCCAAACCGAGTATTTTTGGCTTTATAACATTTTGTCTTTTTTAAAAGCGATTAACCATGCAATTTAAGGGCGTTTCTGTTCCGCTTTCAACGTTTGCATATTCGAGCACTAATTTTGCAGGCAAGAAATTTAGTGCCTCTAACCCTCAGATCGATAGGAGGCCTTGCGCTTGTGGAAACATATTTTCAGAAACCACCTAAGAGCACACAAACAAACATACCAAGGCTATATTTCTTCACGCTTCAGAGGACGGCATTTGCACTTCGAATTTGCTAAAAAAAAAGTAAATTGTTAACATCATCCAGTTAATGCAAGTCTGAGTTCTGTCAGAAGTCTAACATTACTCTCAACTCAGCTTGCCGTGTAGATCATTTATTTTTTGACTAGGACAGTATGGCCATGAGTGGAGGGTCTAGATTTCAAAAGGAGAACTACAATCTTGGACAAAATAAATGGAACACCTGGACCACCCCTCCCCCCCCCCCCCCCCCCCACCCCATACAATGTTGAAATGTCCAACATTGTAGATGGGGTAGGGGGAGGGGCTGAGCAAGTGTAGTTGAATCAATGCGTGACTGTTTGTTTGGCGCATTTGAAAAAGTGCCACAAGTGCAAATATGTCCCAAGATTTTTGTCCATGATTGTCTGAATTTGAGTTAGAAAATAAAATGTCACTTTTCAGTGTTTTTCTACAGTTTAAATGGTTTTTTCCTGTAAATCCCTTTGACAAAACGTTTTAGGGGCTGGGAGGTGAACTACATCTCCTTCAAGCGCCTCCAAAAGATCGGCCCAGGGTCCTACCTAAAGCCATTTAAGAAAATTACTTCGGTTTGCTCTGCCCTTATCCAGGCGAAAGAGCCCATGGCTCAATTCGAAAATGTGTTGAAAATAACTTTCAGTGGCAAGAGAATAAAGCTCTTACCACAGTTTGAGTTTCCGTGGACGTAAATATTGCAGAATTTTCCTCGTCCCTTGGAGAGGGCCTCGTACACGGCTCCACAAAGAACCAATGGCATAATTTCTTGGTTTGCCAGAACCTAGAGAGCTGCCTCCAAGCATTGTCCTGCACACCTCATAACACATTCGCCATCTTTGGCTTCTTCTAAGAGTTGCACTCTTGTTTTCTTAGAACGTGCCATCAGCGATTCAGCAGTAGAAAATTCTTTCACTAAAGCTAGGGCTTTGTCCACAGCTTTATGGCAATGATTAGCCATGAACTGCATGAAACACAGCTTCCCTTCTCGTTCTTGAGCCGTCGCGAGGCAAACCAACTGTAGCCTGCTGGTGATCAATTTCGCTTGGATGATTTTAGAG